TACTGAGTAACAAGGGGAGTACCAGCACCTGCTACTGAGTAACAAGGGGACTACTGGCACCTGTTTTTCCTCACTTCAAGCACTGCAGCTAGGATCCTTATTAAAAATAAAACATTCATACATTATCTTGTCAGTTTTTTCTTGTAGATAACACTTCAAAAAAGTCACCCTCCATAAAGCACAGTCATTTTTCTGACAAAGGGATGTGGAAATGTCAGACTGGTTGGAACGTTCGGGCAAAAGCATCTGACAAGGATTGGGGCAGGGAATGGGACCTTTCACCGGGAATACAGGGTGGGCCAGGACTCAAACTGACAGAACACACAAAAATACAAAAAAAAAAAAAAAGCCTGGGGAGGGGCCTTTACCAATTTTTATTCATCACAAGAAATGGGAAGGAGGTGTAACTAACCAGCACACCAAGCTTGGTCATGTGACTCCTCCCCCTAAGCCTGCCCCAATCCCAGCCAGCTCTCACGGCAGCTACTCTCAGCCTCAAAATTGTAAATCTCCAAACTGCAAAACTACGCAGCACAAAAGCCTGTGGATGGAGATTTTTCCCCAAGCATTTGACACTTTGTAATATAATGAAAATTTTCACTGTCAAGTATTACCTGCCTGACTGAACCACCGAAAACCTTTTTTAGTTCCTGGTGACATTAAAGTTCTTGAAACCAGCACTGACTGGTTTAGTATAAAAAAAAAGTCAAAGGCAAACTTAATTTGAACAGTTGAATATTTATTTTATATACAGTACATACTCTTGCGTATCATTGTTGTTGAAACTTCCTATAAGTTCGGAATACATTAAACAAAATACTGCAAGTTTGTTATGTGACATTTCGGAAGGGGGGGGGGGGTTTATGGGGTATGGACGAATTTAGATGCCCAGTCTTATTTTGCTGTGTTGGAGAGTGGCTTCGACAATTCATCTGCGCGTCCAATCAGGAAGCCTCAAACAAAACTGCTTTTGTTTATTTGTTTTCAGGTATTGCTGGCTTTAGAATCCCAAAGCACTGATGGAACAAACCCAAAGTGACCTAATCAGCCAGTGTGGAGCACATTATCAAAACCAGGATAGTATTAAAAACAAAGAGTTCATCTTTTTTTTTTAGGTATGAGTCCAAAACTAAAGAAATTTCAACAGTTACTCTATTATTTGATTTCACTACAGTTTTCTAGCTGCCGATAAATATACCATATTACAGCCTTGTCTTTTATTTTCCCATTTTTTATAGCTATATTGTGCAAACTGCCAAGAAACAGCCATGTCTATCTCAATGCGTGGTACTGGTGTGGCTTAACGCATTGTGCTGATCCACCATCTGTACCCATGCCTGACCAAATCTGCTGGATGTGTTCTGGCCATTTGAGAAAATAGGTGCTCAGTCCTCCTGCAAGGAGGGGACTGGCTGTACAACTGCTTTTTTTTTACATTTTGTTCCACCAGAACACATCTACCTATTTTAAGCTAACAATACAGGCTGCGAATTTGAGTTTATTTGTGGAACCATGAACACCAAACTCCTGCTCCAAAGACTGGGTACACCCTCTTCTGAAGAAATCTCTTATTTTAGACTAGAAATGGACAACTTATAATGAGAAAATGTTGAGTAGAGGGCCTGTTAGTTATGCTATGCTATGCTATGCTATGCTAACTACTCATTCCTTAATTAGTTGTTCTGGTTTGCATAGGGAACCCAGCTGGGTGTGCTATAGGTGTGGACACTGAACCAGTTGAAAGCTTCATATAGACAGGTGGTCCGGCCAAAGATTATTTCTTCAGGTCATTACACAAACATCTACAGGAAAGTGTAGGTCCTCACTTCTGGCCAGTCCCATCTTTAATACCGGACAGAACCCTGGAAAAAGCTACAACTTGCCACCCTAATCACACCATAAGCTGAAAACTGGAAACGAGTGATTTTATTATGAACGATGCATAAGGTAGCCTGCAGAATAACCAGGAAGAACAAGTTCAGGTTCTCTTTTGAGGAAAGGAACTATCTTTCGCAGCTTCACCCGACAAATAGCTAATTTAAAGGGGAACTCTACCTAAAAACCACGTTTCTTACTCAAAATCTAGGATGCATCCTTCGCGTCACGTGTCTTATCTCTGTAGTGGAGTGGCTACAAATGACTTTCATGATCAACAAGAGCAATTAAAGCTCTGGGTGGCTGCCCTGACCCCAAACAGGCTCAGCTGTGCTGAAGGATCCACTCGCGGTTGAGCAGGAAACGCGCTATTGGTGAGACACGGCAAAGGTGGAACTGACTCTTCCTGAGATCAGCCAGCCACGGTCGCCCTCTTGAGCTGCCCATGAGACAAAGTGGTATTAAAAACTGTGCAGTTGGTATAATAAAGCCACCGCAGGCTTTAATTGCTTTTGTTAAGAGATGAACAAACCTCACATTGACGTGACATCGGAGAGAGGACGACAACTGCTTTCAACGTAAGAAGCATGTCAAATGTTATTTTTGGTAGAAAGCTCCTTTAAAGTTGATTTTCCAGGTAACTTGGATTCTGTCATCAGAATTTGGATAGTATTTATTAAAACCATAAGGCTTTACAATAAATGAATGTTGGCCATATGATGGCAAAAGTCTTCACTGCATGTTTTTTTATTTTTAAACTGAAGTCTAGCTGCTCTCTGAGGAGGTTGGTGGTGCTGTGGAGGTGGACCTTCTCCGAGACATGGACAGGGAGCGCTCGGGACTGTAGGGGCTCTGTTTGTCGAAGGGCTGCATCTGGACCTCCAGAAAATCCCTGTGCTGCTGGCTTATGGTCTGGCTTATGAGGCCGGGCAGAGCCTGAAGGCTTCCCAGGAGCGTCTCAAGCTTGGTCTCCAGAATGGCGATCCTCTTCTCCATGTCCTCGCCCCTTTCGTTCAAGTCCGAAATCAGGTCGTACATGATATTCTGTGTCTGCACACAGAAGGAAAAGCGGACGCTATGTGAGCTTACGTGCCATATTTTCTCAAAAGAATAATTTTTCAGATGATGTGACATTCATTTTAACAATTTTAAACACTAGGAACTACTAGGAAATAAATAAACAAACAAATTTGATTACGAATGGCCAAATGTCTGCAAAGAAACAGGTTTAGAGATATTATCGTGTATAGAAAACTAACCACAAATTACATTTGTGGGAGCCTAAATCACTATAACACCAAACTCAGAGATAAACACATTGAAAATACTGCCATGAACTGAAAGTTTTAATTGAAAGTTAACACCATTGTCACATGACCTTCTGCATCACTGAAACCCTGTACTGGAGTTTTAGATCCTGGCAAATGTCTACGGTGCCTGTATGGTGGTTTAAGAAGCCTTAACAGTGACATAGATGTTTGACTTACTAAATCAGCCACATGCAGATGTGTGTGTCAAAAGATTTGAGAAGTGGCCCCTCAAAAAGTCCCTGCAGGGCACTGATCCAAATGTACTCTCAAACGGGGGGGGGGTCTGGAGTGCATGAGCATCGGCCCCCTTTTGCCTGAACAACTGAAAGTGCCTCCCTTTTGCCTTAGTGCCCCTTTCCAATCACCGATGATCACTGATTTGGCAAACCACAAGCCAGTTAAAATTTGTTTTGGTTTGCCAAGGGGAGACCCCCCCCCCCCCCCCTGAATTTTACTGAGGGTCCAATGATTGAGCACCTGCCCCTTTAAAAGTCTCTGCACAGCCCTGTTCCTGAACACTGAAATGTATACTCATGCTGGTCCTACATATAATATGGTGCTGGCAGACCAACAGTGCTGTGATTAGTATTGCTCATTGTTACATAATTACAAAACGTCTAGTTAGTAGACAGAGAAAATGTACCAAATTCGGCCTGGCGGTGATGCCACATCACCATTCGAGGGAGCACCCAGACACGCACGAGGACAATGGCACTGCTTACCTTTGCCAGGTCCACTAGGGAGTTTGCTTGGTCGTTCAGCTTCCGTTGCTCCATTTTTACGCTTCGTAATCTGAATGCAAGACCATTTGAACCAACGTTTTAAGCAAAGATGGCTGGTTAACAGAAACGTGAAGCACTCAATACTCTTCAAACATGCAAAGGAACATGTCGAAAATGCTTGCAGGAACCCTTAATTCTTGATGTGGCTTGGTGAATGACATGCAAGCTATACCCACAGTGGGAAATAAAGTCAACAGGCAGGTTATTTGTCACCAATGGAGAATTTAGCTCAATATTTAACCATTGAAGCCCTTATTATTATTTTTTGGCCAATCCAATGCTTAGTTAGTTAAGATATTTATAAACTTTTTCAACAAGCAAAATAGTATATCTGGCAGTAGAAATCAGTTTTGGAGACGTCGTAGCCATGCCCCCCCGCCCCGGGTGTCTCTGATTCACACCTCTGCTGTTGTGCTTCCTTTTGCTCGCTGCCGAGTGACACTCCACCACTCAGGAAGGCTAGGGCCAACCACGGGAGTGGCGTGCCTCTCGCTGCCGACAGCCCGCTTCCTGCATGTGCCTGGGCGGTCTGTAGGTGGCGCTGATACGGAAGCCGGCAGAAAAACCCTGGCTCACACCCTCCCTCCTGCAAAACTCCCAGTCACAATATGACATAGCTAGGTTTATTTGATAATACCGGATAGTCTTAATAGGTCTTGATGGATTCCGCAGATATCCGTCTAGATATTCGTAAAAAAGGTAAAACTTGAACCAAAGCAGAAGCATCTCATGTCTTCATTGCAGACATATGATACACAAAGTACATCAACTTCAAAATATTTGCAAGCTTCACCTTTCAATGAGCTGAAATGCTACATGTTTAATTCCGCTAATTCAGTGTAGGGAATAATCATTGTGGGAATAGCCTAGCGTGCCCTTAAAAGAGTAAATGCATAGTGGAAATCTTAATTAGATGGCATGGACATTGCGTAAATATTCATTGTCATGAGAAATATCTGCACAGTTTCTTTTTGCAATGGACTGAAAAATGCCCAGACCAAAGAAAATGCAAATCTTTAGAAAGTAAATGGGGAGGAGGGTTTTCATATTTCCATGCAAAAGATTGTAATTTGCAGGCATTCAAACACAGGCAGACATGTGTGACTAAAATAACGTGGTGGGTCAATGGGGGGGTGATCACAGTTTTTCCAATAGAAGGACCTTGGAAATCATCGTAAGTAAGGATTGCAGGATGAATTTCATTTTGCCGTCCAGGAGGACGGACATATAAACACCACATCATTGTTAGCCAACATGACTCAAAAATCAGACCATTTATTTTTGAAAAATTTTTCAAAAAAGCAGAGCTAGCTCGATAGCCTTTTTCTCAGAACAGTAAAACGTGTTTTGTAAAGAGTTCTGAAAGGTCTCCATGCTGCCAAAAGGTAGGCTTGCCAGAATACATTAATCATTTGAATTGTTTTTTAACCCAAAGTCCCAAGAACAATAAAAACAAAAGAAACAATTAAAGACTGAAATCCAAACAAAATGTATAAATGGTGTTTCACCAATGTCAAAAATAACTCTTACAGTCTGCTTCCGAAGCTTGAAAAGCAACTTTGACTTTGCGATGACGTAAAGCATAAAAGTGTCAGTCCACCGGCTAAAACATCCAGCCTGAGAATGCAGAGCCAAATGGAAATAAATGCTTTGTTTGCATTTGGGTCTCATTTTAGTCATTATCAATTGTTTAGCTCCCATAGTGCTGTTTCCCTCACATACAAATACAGGACAGTGGCGCCTGTGGAATTTAACGACTACAAAACCAGTTTTCTCCTGGTTCCATAAAGTATTTCCCCGTATAAATTTATCGGTGGGTGTAGCGCGGTAGGGAAATAACTCAAATCAATTTCATCAGTCTGAAGAGAGGAATGGAATCAATCTCTGGCAAGCCCCCTAATAATAATGGTATGAAACTTACTTATCAAATGAGGAAGTGGCTAAGGATTGTATTTGTTGAGACTGAAGGACAAATCCTCACTTGCATGCACACAACATTACTGGGTTGAAATGTGGAAGACGAAAATGGTCAGACGGACTTACTTTCGAGCTCTATAGCATTGTGTAGACACAAACAGGAAAAAAGAAAATATAAAATACACAAATTAATAATTACAACACACAACTTCAACATGTGACAGCTGTCAAAGTAGATTCCAGGGATGACGGAAACGGCGTTTAGGCTAGCGACAGCGGTAAAGGCTATGAATACTTTAGCTGTAATTGGTGCATTGTGATTTTTGTATTTCAGAGAGAAGCTGGTCTCAAGCCCAGACATTTCGCTTCAGCGTTGCCAGCATTTATAACCTCAACACAAACCACACCAAGCCGCCGTCAAGAGCTTGGTGGTGGCGGCTTCTTACTTTCCATACATGACGGTGAACAGCGTCTGACATCCAAGACAGAACAGAAAACACTGAGAAGAGATCGGACAGCTTGACTCAGAGTCATGGTTACAACAGATGCATGCCGTACGTCAGAATGATGGTGGATGATTGGTACGCAGGTCCCAAGACGAGCGATGGGACAGGGGCCAGCAGAGAACATCAGAAGCCTTTACCCCAATGAGCTCCTCTGGCCCCAGTACACAGTGTGTTTAACACCATGATTGAGATTAAAATCAAAACTCACTTGAGCATTAATTTTTTTACAAAGCACACCAACTGAAAACAAAACTGCACATTTACAAACTGGTCACATTTACTTCATTTTGCTAAATATACAATAAAACTTTAACAAAACTGATAGGCCTATTTCAAACACCACATACTCACATGCAAATTGCATTAAGATCCCGATATCGAGAAAAATATAATTTAATTGCTGCTGTCTTGAATGTCTTTTTTCTTAAAAATGTGCAAAAAGAGAAAAATGACAAAATAACAGATCACTCCATCAAAACAGTCCGACTTCTCCAGATTTTCTAAGCAAAACATGAATAAAAGGTCCGGATTCCCCGCTGCAATGAAACAGTCTGACAGGACACTGTTATTCAGCACCGATAATAAACAGCAGTAACTGACGGGTCTTTATTTAAAGATTCGGAACAGTCCTAGTACATAACAGAACAAGTCAATGGCAGGGTAATTCCACAAGTGATGATTCCAGTACCATAAAAACCATCCCTTAAACTGCCTCCTCAGTGCACTACCGTCACCAGGGGCGTAGTCACCAGGGGCGTAGTCACCAGGGGCGTAGTCACCAGGGGCGTAGTCACCAGGGGCGTAGTTAGAGATTAATGGATAGGGGGGCTGATGGCAAACTATTCATGACTTAAGCCAATAAATAGACATTTATTTGGGGAGCCTAAAGCCCCCAAAAATAAGCCGAACTACGCCCTTGGTAGTTAGGGAGTGTAATGGTCATAAAAATGGCAGCATTGCCACTTTAATACCACCTTGCAGCACCACACAAAAGCCTAACTGCTCAGCAGAGCATCACGGAAATATTGTACTGACAAGACAGAGCAAAAGATCTGTGTTTTTATTATGTAAGAGGACTACGTAAGGTCAAAGTCATAGCAGATGAAACTACACCACGCTTCACCAAGCCTTTTTCCGGTCTTAAATTGAAATATTAATTATGTTTGATTTGGGAAGATTAAGAAGCCAGTTTTAAATGTCACTGCCAATTTTATACGAGAAAGGTGTCTGCTACAGAATCCTTGAACTATGAACTACGATGAGCGACAGAGCTGACGAGGACCACGCCGGGACAGGCAGCGAGAGGACCATGAATTACCCGAGATTGTGTAAAACCTGGAGCTTCCCCGCTGGCCGCAGTAAAAATCAGGGGCTCGTAAAATGCTGCTAGTCTGCCCCCCCCCCCTGCAGATGGACTTCTGCAGCAGTGCCTTCCACCCCAGTCCCACCTCGCCGGTGCTACTGCCCCAGTCCATCATTTTCACTGGGACTACTCTTTATTTTAAAAGCAGGATGTTAAATCCTTCTCGGTAGGGAAGAGGTTTTAGATTTTATTAAATGCCGCGACAGTTTCACAGCCCGCTTTTCTCCGCGCCGTTATTTCACATTACACTTCCCCAGATATAATTTCATAATCTATACCTTCCTGCCGTCAACAACCTTGTTCAAGTCTGGCCTCAGACTTAAAAGGCAGAGCGACCCTGCGTGTGCGTATGAATCATAACGACAGCACGTGTTCCCAGGATGCCCAAAATCATTCTTCAGAAAGAAGAAGCACAAATTCCCTTTATTAAAAAATAACTCTGGCCAAGCAACTTCCCACTCTGCTCATTTAAATATACAGTAATTCATTCAGTACTTTTTTTAGTGCTGCAATCAAATTTAATATTTAAAAACACCACTGCAATCCCTTTACAAATGTGTCTGCCTGCAAACCCCACTCCTGGTGTATTCTGGCGCAGGCAGACAGGCCCATTAACTTGCTGCAAGAATAAAACACCCCCCCCCCTCCACCACCCAAACTCAATGGTGCAACGTCTGAGCATCAGACAGAAATACTCCCGGACATAAACTAAATGCATATTGAGGTGAAACTGACTAGGGATTCCCAATGGGGCCGTGCAGTCAGACAGCCTTGGACTGTCTGAGGTGCCCCCCTCCCCCCACACCAGCCCCAAGGCTCCATGGGAGTTTGCTCATCGTATCCTACTTTGCTCAAATATGATGCTGCACTGAAAGTGTCTCCAGTCCCTTGTAATTTTACCTCTACACGTCTGTTAGCTACTCTGAAGTAATCATGTCAGGACGGGAGCTGTATAAAAATAGAAAGTAATATTGCTAAAATGTTTTGTGCTTCTGTGATGTGTGGGCACCCCGTTCTGGGTTGTTCCCTGCCTTGCGCCAGCTTCCGGGACAGACTCCGGACCCCCCGAAACCCTGCATAGGACAAGCAGCTATAGGAAATGGGGTTTTACTTAGCATACGTTCTGTTTACAATCTGTTACAATCACAGTATCAAATCTGGTTTACAAATCATTTGGATGTCACAGTCAGCGGCAATATCAATTGTTTAAGTTTAAGGCTGCACAATTTCTCTGATAGTGAAATATCACTAGCACTTTGATTAGAGGACACAAAAAAACAACTGAAAATAAAAACACACACACAAATAGCAGACCTTTCTTACAAAGAGCAGGAAAATTATTATTGTGGACGAAGGTGAAAGAGTCCCATCTGCCCTAAAATTAAAATGAGCAAAAGTAGGTAGTTTAGGCTCCGGGGAGATTAAACCACCTGTTTGGGACCCACTAGCAAATGCCAAATTTAGGAATCACGTGGCTATTCGGGTCCTTTTAGGACCCAGCAAGTGGATAAAGAAATAATGAGGCACCCCCTCCCACCTGCGCTAGGACTATTTAGATACAAGTGGACAAAACACTAATATTAGTCTCATTAATGCCTATTTATGATCATGCTATCAGACCGAAACGGTGCCCTTGAAAACCTTCAAGGCCATCCTAAAAAGCAATGACAAAAACAAGAGGAAAAAAAGAAACTGATGCGCAGAGGCTTTTGCTTCATAGGAACTTTAATAGCGTTGTAGGCACTTGAAGGCACATTATTATCCTTGTTCTGGGCATAAGGCCATAGTATTTGGCTCTGGCCCCTGATCCTCCAAGTACCAGTTTGCCAGCAGTTAGTATCCCGGCCAAGTCCTGCGGCACCCCCTCGCAATACTGGGAGGAGGAGTCAGGGCTTCCTACCATTAACAGGAGCCCCCGTCCCCCCAGACGCCGGCGATCCTTCACGTTAGTGAGCGCGGCAGCTGGGTGTCGTGTTGATGTCAAACCTCAGAAATGATGGCGGCCGGGGAAAAGCAGTGAGGACGTTTCTACCATTCACGCATGGTGACAGCCAATAAAATTGAGGCACGCATGGTGACAGCCAATAAAACCAAGGCACGCGCATGCATGGTGACAGCCAATAAAACCGAGGCGCTAATAAAGTCATACTACTCAGCATTTCGGTGTTAAAGTCTGTGTGAGCAACACAACAGCCCTAATGTGTTTACGTTTTATCTCGTATCGCTATACCTCGTGCTTTAAGGTCTCTCACGGAGAAAACCATTTGTTTACAAAGCTTTTCCAAACGCTTTGTGAATTTTTAAGAAAAATAAATTGTAAATAAAATCTGTAAATAATCCATTACGCAGTGAAATAAAACTGACCAAAATAACAAGGAAGTAGCTCCATGTACTGCGACAACCTAATCCAAGTCAGGAGGGACACTGTGAGCCACTCCAGGTTTTACAAACTCCAGTGCTTGGCTAAATAGTTCAGCTCTTCTTGTGCTTTGACTGGTTTGTTCCCTAGATTGAAAGACTCATCCAGCTGTTTCGCATTAACATTAGTGACACATGCATGATTATAGGAGACTGACCAATCAGCACTCAGCAAGAACTCAGCACTTAAGTGAAAGCCAGGTCTTTTAAAATGAAATGGTAGGGTGCCACTTTACAGTAAGGCTACGCTTATAAAGGGGTTATGAATGGTTTATAAGCAGGTTAGGTTGTAACACTTTGTAAGTCATTACTAGACAATTATAAACAAGTTATACCACAGTTTTCTTCTTATTAATGAGTTATTACCATTTATAGGTGGCAAAGAGTAGCCTTATTGTAAAGTGGTACTAATTGTGGTTTACAAACCCGGTCCTAGCTCAGTGTCCCCCCTGACATGGATAAGGTGGTCACCCTAAATCTACATGAGTCATGCTTAATGTTATTAGCACCTTAGCCACAGTGCATATGGCTATATGAACTAACATTGACTGAGCAGTTCGGTTTACCTATATAAGGTATCCTGTATGACAGGTAAAAGCTTGGAACTGAGACTTTTTGACTGAAAGGATAGATAGTTTTTAATTGAAATTCATGCAACGTTTTATATTAATCTATTAATGCTCCACAAGGTCCCTTCTGTTGCACATTCAAGGTCCTAAGTTAAACCTAAATCACTGCGGAAAAAAACCTTTAAGCCACTGTGGTCAACAGGATCAGCTGTCTAATACATATGCAGCGTAAAACACTCACACTTTACATTCCTAGCAAGGCTAATGTGGCCAGAAACGTTCCCATTGTTTCTGTACTCACAAAACGCATTTGTGCCACGAGACGACCTTCAAATTGATTCGTCTTAGCACCCCCTAGTGGAGCATCATGGAATGTCCAGCTATTAAGTGGGGCATCACACCATTGTGCGGTGAGAATAATGGGAGGCCAACCCATAGCAAGCTTAATTGAAAATCTTGTCAACTGCCTACTAAAGAGCACCTTTCAAATGACAGCTATAGGTCCACTATGAATTTTAATTTTATCATTTTCAAGGGCATAGAGCTTTACGAACATGCATAGTTAGCATGTATGAGAGCATGTGATGACAGAGAGAAGGATCTGCCTTCTAACAGCATGACAGATGCCAGACAGGCCGAAGAAGCCAGAGACTCGGCTTACTGCATAATTCCTACAGTGGAGAAGTTATGCAAGGAAGTCGCAGTGAATGTTCCTGAAAATGTCACCCCTGAATGGCAACACGGCTTCCTTTGACATACTTCATGATGCCAACTGGTCACAGAAACATGCAAGTAAAAATCTTTAGCAGAACTTGTCACCAACAAGGCAAATGGAAAAGATCGATAAACAGTGAGCAAAGGTGTCTGAAAATAGCCAACTAAACCATTAGGTCCATTAAATCCATTTCTTCATGCAGTGAAAATAGGTGCATTTATGTAAAGAAGAGAGCAAGAGAATGAGAAGAGCTCCGAGTGGAGCAGATTGATATGTGGGCCCAGTCAGCTGAACTTATGAGAAGCAGACTAGACCAGTCTAAAGCAATCTACCTTGCACCTTATTGAAGAACAGTGTAAACCATCCAAATGGAAGCTCTAGAGCAAGGGAGTCAAACTGCAGTCCTGGGGGCCGGAGCCCTGCACGTTTTTGGGTTTCCCCTCATCAAACACGCCTGATTCAACTCTTTGTGCTAATTACCACACAGCTCTTGAGCTGGATCATTTGTGGTGGAACAGGGAAAGAACTAAGCTACACAGGACTCCACCGCCCCCCCCCCCACACCCCATGACTGGAGTTTGAAGGTCTTGTGCAAGAACACTGGCCATCAGCCTGATCCACGCTTTAAAAACCTCAGAAGAAGCGTTTACAAGCCAATCTCAGACATGGTCCACTAGCTTTCCTTCTGCGCATATTACATGCGTGACAGACATTTACAGCATGCTCCAGAATCACGGGTCTGGTTTTCTCCCCCTCCTTCAGAATTGATTTTTCCACAAATCCGGACCTGCGCCGCAGCTGGGAACGACGAGGAAGGACATCGAAAACACAGACGATGGAAGCGATGGGGGCTGCGGTCAGAGCAGCTCCTGCCTGAGGCGCCCGTTAACGTTGAATAGCAGTTTCATTAAGACAAAAAAAGGCAGCTGCTTGGAGCTGCTCTTTAAGGGAACTCTTGGTCACTAACAAATCAACTACTGTAAGCCGCACTGAGCGGAAATAGCAGAGAAAAGCCAAAGGGGAACTTTAATCAAAAGCACATCAGTCTCCCTTAAGCTTGACAGATTTATATAGAGACAATCCACAGCCAGCTTCAGAGAGTTCTCCCAATCCCGCAAACGTTCATTTGTAGAATATCACGAATAAGACACACCTATAACGATGCTGTTTGCATAACACTGGCTTTATGGCATGGCGATAATTGTTTTTAACGAAGCAGCCTTTCCCTCGCTTAAGTCTACAGACCACAGCTACACACAACCTGCCCGAAATATCTCAGGTCCAGGGCACCCTGTATGACATCAAGTGTGGTGGAGTTCTAATTTATAAAGACAGAGTACATTTAAAAAGAAAACTATTTGGGAACAATATTTAAGGTGCCAAGGAGCCATCTGTGTTTGGCTTTCATCAACAAAAAAATGACAGTTGGTGTCTGGGAAAAGAGCTGTATTACTTAGCTGGAAGATATAAGGAATCAATAATTCACTGCAGAACTGCTGCTTTAACAAGAATCCAATAAGACACATAAATGTATTGCACACACATGTCCAGCAGCAGCTTCTCAGGCAGAGCATATAAGCCTCTTGCGATGCGCGCACATTTACAACCTCACTGCTAAAAGCTGAACTGGTTTATTGATGGTGATATTACTCCCAAAAATGACGATAACATAAAAAAATTAATTGACAAATTGGTTCCAACACACCATTTCAGACCCCCGTGGGCTTGTTCTATCGTGCTGTAATCTACAGAGATATTATTTAGTCAATAAAAAGTGTTCTAATACGAAATGAAAGAATTGTACAAATTTCACAACCATTAAAAAAAACCACAAAAGGCCTCCAATATGTCCATTAAAACAAGCGGTATTTTCATTCTTAACGGATGCAATACTGACTGTGTCCACAAGAGGCCCGGCCCACTTACTGATGGATGGCTTGTAAAAATTTCCTCTGGTGCTTCCTGACTCGGGCATGGTCCATCTTCCTCACCAGCTTGGTGTTCTTGTAGATCAGCCATGTCTCCCTGAGTACGTTTGCAGCCGTGTTTTTCACCTGGAAGCACAGAGCACCATGGGAGTAAATGGGAGGCTAATAATAGCGGCTAATAATCTCGATTCCGATGTGGGCAGTGTGAACCCGGCACCTGCTATGCTGCACAGCTGGTGGCTGTGTGGGTATGATCATAATGGGCACCACTACAGTTGTTGGGGGCACCAGCAGGATGTAGACAAGGAGTTGCCGGCACAGCAATAGCCCCCAGCACAGTGACCCCAAAGCTTACGGGCTACCCGGTGTGAAGCCTTTAGCAGCATACACACCGTCCAAAAACACAGCAGGCATCTGATCTGCAACGAGCGTTGAACCAATTTTACAAAGATTAATCCACCAATTCCTGTCTCTCTTTTGCAAACAATAACAGTTGATAATGACAAAGCTACAGTCCACTTGTTACTACGAGTAAGATACACTTACGCTACTAGTACTGCTAATGCTGCCAGTCAGTACATCGCCCTGGTAGCTACGTGCGTCTGGCCTAAAAGCCGCAGGCGACATCTTTCCGACAGAATTCTGAATACATCAATATCAAGTGAAAAAAGTAGAAACTTAAACAGTGAAATGAACCTGTCCTTCACTGTAAAAATTGTACCACGCACACAAGAGCACACACACACACACACACACACACATATATGAAATATATATATATAACTAAAACAATACATAAATCACATAATATTTCAAGCATATTACAGCGTGAATGATTAAAGGCACCCTATTAGCATAAAGTTCTCTTTGTTGTTGAATTACACTCCTGTCACTAAGTCCACTAGCTTTTCACTTCCAGGAATCAATCTGGTCATTCATGCCTGAGGTCCAGTCCTCTACTTTAGTGCTGTAAAGATATTTCTCCTCCTTTGGGGAAGGCGGGACCAGCCTACTCTTATCAGCATCACAGCAGACAGGCTGCTCGACTGGTCACAGATATTGAGAACTTTTGTTACCATCGTGGTAGGTGTTCCGAGGTAAAAGCAGAAAGCCACCCCTACTAGCACCCAATCAAACTGAAGAATTTCATGTAATAGTGTGTTAGTGCAGTTTACAGCGACAGGTCACAAAGGCAAGCGTTTAGCTAATTCGGTAAAGGTTCATGACATCGTGCTTGATCAAAAAGAGTTCCGCCGATGTCTCATGTGAATGACCACATATACAGAGCTCCCACTGGTCTTTCTGGTAATGCAAACTTGCATTGTTACAAGGATGGCTATAGACTAGCACTTCCCAGTCCGGTCCTTGGGGCCCCACAGACAGTCCACATTTTTGCTCCCTCCCAGGGCAGGGAGCTCAGAGAGAGCAAAAACATGGACTGATTGTGGGTCCCCAAGGAACAGCTTGGGAAACACTGTTATAATTGCATCATTGTAAACGCACCTCCATCTTTCATAAGTGCCATAAGTCACAAAGGTCTAACCAGGTGTTTGCAGAATGTATCTCAAAACTGAATCCTCTGGAGCAAACCCATGCAACACTGGGAGAACATGCAAACTCCACAACAAGGGCAGCGGGATTCGAACCCGCAACCCTGAACGCCACAGTACTGTGCACTGATCCAAAAGGCAGCAGCGCGGACGTATTAAAATGCATTTTAGAGAGGTAATAACAAAGGAGGCAAGTGGAAAAATCCTTAAGTTCCAAGAAATGGTAATAAAATGAGATCATAAATATTTGAGAGACTCAATTCTGTCAGAATGCTGGGAACTGACCGATGTGGTTCCCTCCTTTTATTTCTATTCCGAAAAGGGCGCAGCGACAGCTGGATTCTGTGCCAGGCTTTGATCAAACAAACAGGTTGAAGAAGCTAAAATAAAGCTCAGTGACACGCCGAAGCCAGATGCCAGGCGGTGGGGTATCCCCGTGTGCCGGATCATGCCGAACGGTGCGTATTGGTTGCGGCCTCTCCAGATGTCGTTGGGTTAATCTGGGCGGCATGAGTATTTCTGCCTACATGTTAACGAGGCCTCAGTACTGGTGATTATGAGGTCAGCTACCGTATCACATGGGGCTTTTGCTAACCATGCAGCCTTTGTATTTGTAGAGATTACAAAGCAAAAAAGAGACGTCTGTTATTGTCATCATTTCATTGTGGAGAAGATCGTTTTTCTTCCCCACGACTATGACCAGAATAAGCAGTTAGAAGATGGATGGACGTTTTTTCCCCATAGTTCACATCAGAGAGAGGATGGTCCAGGTGTTACTTACTCTTTTGGTTAGCTGGGTGTCCATCATAAAGTTGTGTACATGTTTCTCAGCTTTGGTGAGCTCCAGTTTCTTTGCGACAACAGCGACCACTAGTGCAGTGCATCCAGCCCCCTGGGACGACAAAACAATCGGCAAGTTAAACAGGCTTTTTTGATTAGAGGGAAAACAAAAATTAAGAACGCTGCAAGGTTCTTAAAAGCACCTTGTGGTGGCCTGTGCATGTTCCGGTACATTCTGGACACACCCAAGTCTGACAGGACCACTGGCATTAATGTGTCAGTGCAACATCGACATTCCCAGTGTTTCTTCCACCAGCATCAAGTCGTTCCTTTTAAACTGTTGTTCTTGTTCACCTGCGATTTTCTAACCCTAACCCTCCACTGCCGCCCTCCTTCCACATCACTTTTTCGGTGCCTTTGGAGGACTGAGACTCCCCCAGAGGAATAAGTTTACCCGCTCACTTCGGCGTGCAGATCACCTAGAGGACAGGCTTTTTATACCGTGGGTCAGTGCGGACACTGGCAACGACAACCCCGAGCAACACTGTCACAGCAGCCACACAAAACACCTTCTACAGATTTATTTTGGTGTTACAACTCATTAACCCTAAGCCCTTTAGTACAAATATTGACCTCTTTAAATATGTTGTTTTTATTTTTTTTCCCACTTAGACAAAGTTTTATCTGCATATTCATATTTTGAACTCGCGCTGTAAGCGAATGGCCAAATGCCAGGGCCATCTGCAGCATGTGGGCACCCGGCACGGCCCCAAGTGCCATTTGGGATGAAAGCGGGGTGGGATGCGCAGTGGCTGCACTGCACCATGTTGGAGGCACTCGCAGTCAGCGGGTCACTGCGTCCATCCAACTGCATGCCCATCAACATTACGGTTAATCAGGGAACTGACACAAGGCTTTAACCAAAGTCTCCAAAAGTTACTCAGCAGTTCAGCTGACAGGTTTAAGCTAAGTCACCTACAGCCATTTAGGAGTACGGCTGTTGCGTTTAAGCTTAGTCACCTACAGCCATTCAGGAGTACGGCTGTTGCGTTTAAGCTTAGTCACCTACAGCCATTCAGGAGTACGGCTGTTGCGTTTAAGCT